CTGTTTTATATGTCCTTAAGACCATGCCAGCTCTGTTTATATTTTAATTGCATGTTATGCAAAATCTGCTTCAACAAATGATTCATTAGTTTAAAATATTTTATTTATAAATTTAATATAGAATAATAGCTAAGGCTTCTGTTAGGAGGTATGATGTGACAGTTATTTGAAAAACATTAGGTTACATGGTTAAGTGAAGTACAAACTGACATTTGAATAAATTCTGTTACAGTAGCTGTGATATTTTATTGTAAACAAGTTTTTATCTTGATTCATCACCCCACTGGTAGGCCAGGAGAGAGAAAAGATGAGAGCAAGTGGTAGAGCTTCTGCCTGCAGTATTTTCTTAGTCATAAACCTTGTGATAGGATGGAGCAGCAGTCAGTGTGTCTCTCAGATGCACGTGGTACATCAGTCTGTCACGTGGACACCCATCGAGACACTGTATGTTTGTGTGTGTAATCCGTGAGCCTCCCAATAATGCAGTGTTGACTGCACAGGCCTGTCTCAAGCTTCTGAAGGCATTGTGCTCATGGATGTGTGCACTGCAGTGATCTGTCTTGTGGAAAGTTGTGGCACTCTCAGATGGTGTTGGTTTCTGCAGGAGGGTTGGTGCTATCAATTATTTCTGATACCGTGGGCTGAAGATTTAGATTGTCCTCCAGGGGCAGTGGAGTGACAAGGCACTTGGGGGCTGTGCTGACTGGGACACATCAGATGGCTCCAGTGACGTTTCAGTGTGTCTCTGAGATGGATGTTTGCTGTTCCCCTCCACAGACAGTACCCAGGGCAGAGGTGGTGGTTTATTTTGGTATAACGATACAAAAGCTTGTGTTGCAGCAGTTACTAGTAACTGTACCATATATACATACAAGGTTTGGGGACTAGCAAATACTTTTAATGAATTTTGCTTTCTTATTCTTTTGTTCTCACTGGTCTTTAAGCTAGAGACTAAGGATTTCCTAAGAAAGCCAAAGAATACATTTATTTTGTAACTTTGAAGGGTTCAGTGCAGAATTGGTTGTTCTGAAAAGCAGACCTAGGAGGATTTAAATATCTTGTATCTTCCAGCTTGATTTCAGTGACATGCTGGCACAGAGTGAAATAGAAGATCCCTTTCTAGGTATTCCACACATCAGTTATTTAGTTGAGGAGAATCAGTTTGGATTCACAACAGAAAGATCGTGCCTGAAAGTATCTGCCTGAAAAGCTTAAAACAAATAAGCTGAAGTAGGGGAAAGAGGGGACACAATTTGCCAGGGATTTGAAGGCTCGTTTATACAACCACACTGCACAGAAGCCCATGCCGTGTCAGCAGGTGGGTTTAATGGGTGCAGGAGAGCTGGCTGTGATACTCGATGTGAAGAGCTGCCTTTGCATGGATACTGGGAAAGGGCAGTGTCACCAGGACAGGCCTGTTTTACTGGTAGCCTGGGAGGAAAGGCAGGTGAGTTCCATGAAGATGTTCAGTCTGCTGTGGATACAGAGCTGGGGGCACCACTGCTGTAAAGGAAACAATGTGATTGAAAAGGCCCTGGTGGGGCTGCATAAGGTGGGTAGATCAGCCATTGACTGAAACCGAAACCAGGGTCCCCCTGCCCCCTGAAACTTTCTAAGGTGCCTTGAAATCCTTTACACCCACAGAGGCTGCTAACTCAGCCTGCAGCTTTTGCTGACTCCTCCCCATGCTCTCAGTTGTCAGTAACCATGGAGATACAGACGGTGACTCCAGCCTCAGCCTCCCTCATGGTGTAGCCCTGGTGAAAGAGCTGCTGTGCTGTACTGCATGTGTTTTTCTAGAATTAATTAATGCTCTTCTATTCTGTTTTTTCCCCGCCTCAAGAAGGAGGGGAGGGGAAAATAAAAGGAAGTTTTTCCCTCAAATGGCTGGTAAAACACGATAGTCTGATGTTTATTACTGCTGCAGAAGATCAGACAATACTGACAATACTTACAGAGTCTGGTGAAGCACCTGTCTCCTCCTAAGCTCTCCAGCAGGCAGCCATCCCCAGCACTGTTTCAAGTGGTAAGACAATAGCAAATGAAAAGAAAATTCCCTGTTCCAAGGCTATTTTTACCAGAGTGGTGCAGTTCCTGTTCAGTAGACTTATTCCTCTTAATCTACATCACGGATGATATTGGATGCTATTTTAGGCATTGCATAAAATGTTCACCCAGTCTTTGCTAAAAAAGAAGCAACCAACCCACAAGTCCTTTGTTAAATGCTGGTTGCAAGACTTCAGCAGTGGTTTGGGTGGAAAGATCTTAGACTGAGGTTCTGGAAGCGTCTTGCTTGGTTTGGGAACAGAAGTTGTGTGTGCCCTTGGGTCACAACCAGCCTCATGATTGGTTGGTTGGTTTGTTTTTCCATTATCCTGAAAATGAGGAGAACACTACCACTACCTCTTTAGGGTTTGGGCTCTTCTAAGTAATCTGTTGCAATGGAAGTCTGTCTTCTGCTCTCTCCAGCATCTTGCAGAGAAGGACCCAGTTTGCAGCTAGATTTTCTAAGCCCTCTTACAGTGCAGTAATGAAACCCGAGTGCACTGTCTTGTGTGAATATCAGAATTAAAGAGAAACACCCACCTGCACAGGTGAAATATTTTAAGAGTTTGGACCAGGCTTCAGTTGCAGTCTCACCACCTCCTTTACTGAGACTGTAAATGTCTTTACTCCTCTTCAAGAGGTACCGTGCTGAAAATATAATTTAAACATTTCCAGGTCTTTGACTTATCAACTTCCTAATGCTTGTATTTTCACTGCATTGATTTTATGTGATGAGTTCATGCTTTTGTGGCTAAGCCAGGAAAGCATGAGGTTAAATCTCAGGGCTAAGTGTTCTCTGTGTTCCAGCATTTGCCTGGATTAGGCCCTTCATCCCTGACTCCTGTGCCTTTGTCCTGTCAGAAATGTTTTTATAGGTGTATGAAAGACATATCACAGGGCAACCAGAACAAACTCGATGATTGAGATGCTCTTTTATTTACAGTATCTTATGATGAAGCCATTTGCCATGGGTTGTTTTGGTAGATTGTGTCCTTGGAAATGCTTGCATGGGCAGAACAAAGGAGACTTGGATGGCTGGTTGAAGGTTTATCCATAGGCTCCAGGGTGTAGGACAAAGCCTGGCAATACATATCTGTCCCTTATGAGCCATGTGAGTTCTGTCAGGAACATCTGAGACAAAATATGGGACAGTTTTCAGGACTTCTTGCTATCCCTCCACCATCCCAACTCCCTGGTGTTGTTTCTGGGGCCTCCCAGAGCTCCTGGCTACTTTGGGGGAAGTGTGGCTGTGAAGGGGAGCTGAAGAAGTGAGGGAGGGACCAAGGCAGCGCTGTGAACAAACACCAACTGTTAAATGGTGGAGCTGAGGAAGATGAGGGCAGGATTAGGGTTTCCTTGGTTTCTGCAGGGAATGAACTCTGCAGTGGGAGGTTTGACAGCAGCAGGCACCCCTTCTGATGAGTCACAGGACGCTTTTTCAGAGGAAGGGTCTAAGAATTGCACTAGTGGTGCTCTTGCTTGTTTTTTCTGTGCGCTCCGAAGACCTTTTTGTGCTGCCATGTGGTACCTGCTGCACTGCCGTCCTTGTCCCATACAGCCTGTCTTTGGAGCTACCTTCCTCCATTTCCTCATCCTCCTCTCCACTGCGGTGGTTTAAAGAGTGGGGAAAAACTTGTCAGGTCAGGATGGAGATGCTTTGTAGTCACCAAGATCTGTTTATAGCAGCGAGGGTGGAAGTTGTGGTTGATACAAAGTTTGATGGATGTGTGAAGTCATCTTGTCATTGTTGTGGAGGAAGACAGTAGGGAATTGATTCCCTTTGCAGCCCTCTACCCCTAAAGCTTTGGGAGAGTGACCCTGGAATTCTTCGAGAAATTTGTTACTCCTTCCTGCAAGCCCCTTGTGCCTTTCAAAGGTAAATGGTGTTTGTTAGACCTCTCCCAAAATTTGTGGTTGGGAGATATTTCATTTTCCTCTCAATATCCTTCCCTCTCAAGTACTCTGCTGACACAGGGACTGAGAAGCACCAGCTGCCAAGTGGATCTAGTTGACTTGTGTGTCCTGACTGCAGGGAAATTTAAGCTTGTCTTCAGTCCTTAAGAGTGTGGTCAGGCTCATTGGTTATTCCTGAATGCTCCTTCACTGGTTATGCTGTTTCATTACTTCCAGTGCTCAAAAACAAAACAGTTCATCTTTTAACTTTTACTCACTTTATTAAAAATTTAGTCCTCTACACCTTCTCGGCTGTCCCTCCCCAGTTGTGCTGTCACCTCCCACAACACTGGGTGGTTTCTGAATTCACAGGTCCCTTTTCCTACTGAGATTAATATTGTCCTGGAGGAAGCCTTGAAATAGAGAGATGAGATCAAAGCAGGCACAACAGCTGAATAGTGGCAGTAAAACTGGACCCCTCACAGCAACTCGGTTTTGAGCAGAACTGTACAGTGAGCCCTGTTCTGCTCCTGTATTAGTCCTGAAGTGTCCCTGCTTGCCCCTACAGTCCTGCAGGACTTCTGCATTTTCCCTGGTTTTATTTCCCCTTGATGTGAGTAAGCAAATGCAAGGCTCAAATATCAGCATAGTCAAGCTGGTTCCAACATACGAGCAGAAGCATTAGATAGAAACATAAAGGGAGAGAGCGAATCACCCTCCTAATCTGTAATGCAGAAAATGCTAAATCCCTCCAGCCCTCCTTTTCAGCATGGACCATCCATAAAACCTGTCTGGGATTTGGATCGGCATCGCGGCGGAACCCGGGTGTACTGCTGCTTGTGTGCAGTGCGTGCCTGTGTGCCTTTGGCAGCAACACAAAAGAAACCAGTTGATGATATTCATAGGATTAAAGGCCCGATTCATGGGGGCACACTTGGTTGGATGCAATTAAAATGCCTGTCAGGCATTTGATACCAGCAACTCCTTGACAAACTGCTTCAGCAGCCGCGAGGTGCAGCATCCTACTGTAAGTGGATGATGGCGGAGCGGGCTGGTTTGTCATCGTTCTCGAAATTTCTGTGGCCAGAGAACTCCCTCTTCCTCTCCCACTCACCCTCTTTTCCTTTCCACCACTGCGGGGATTTCTAATTTGCAGTTTTCCTTTTCCTGACGTACACATGGTAGATACAAGCTGGTGGCTTACAGACTGCGTCTGTCTGGAGATAGGCAGCGAGCCGATGGATAACAACACTCTAGGAGAATGATTATGCAGCAGTTATTTAAGGATAGGCTTTTGTGGTATGGCAGCACGTGAGCTGGTAACGATTTTATTTTAAAAATGTCAGCTTTGTTTGCTTGTTGAGAATTTGAAAGAGTTATACCTTTATGCTGAAGCTTTTTGGATTTAGTCTGCTGTAGATTAAATTCTGTAGTGGTGCACGCTGAATGAATTAAAATGAATAGGTAATAAACTTCTGTGGGTTTGTTTTTAAATATACTGATGCACACATAATGTGTATTATATGTACACACCTTCATACACACAGGCTTGTTTATGCATCTGTGTCTTTGTACAATAGAAGAAAAACTTCTTATAGCTGAAGACTGTTTTTCAGCTAAAATTAAGTGATTTCAGTTTATTTTATACCCCTCCCTTTGTTTTTTATTAACAGATTCTTCAGCATATAGTCTTGGACACAACGCGCTGATTGGAATCTACTTGTTCACCGGCTGGAAAGGTAGGACACCTCTGTTTGAATGTGGGAATGAATGTGATACAGGGTGTGGGCAGTGCTTTTTTTATTTTGTTTTTCTTTTTTGATTGAAACAATAGATGTTTTTCTTCATTTTGTCCAGCTGTGTTTTGTGGCAGCTTTGCAGAGATTTTCAAATTGCTTTGGCAGGCACTGTGAAGTTATTTTTGATGTGTATGCGTACGCTCTAGCTAATTAATTAGTCCTTTCGGCTGCAGCTACCACAGGGCAAGATACAAACCCAAGTGCTTGTCTATTGTCTGCTTTACTATAGTGAGAGTGCAGGCCTGTCTCTCATCATACCAGATTTGGGGACATCATAATATTGATTTTAACATCAGCAAGGACAGGGTTAAACTTGCTGGCTTGCTGAGAGCAGGTACAGTCTATCACAGCGGAAAACATAATGCTGGATTCAGACCGTATCACTTCCATGGGAGAGGGAAACTTCTTTTAACCCGTGCACTGCTGCCAAAAACCATGTGTGCTTTAGCTCAGGGCTTTTATGCTTTTATGATTTTTTTTTTTTTTCAGCAGCCTGGCAGGGCATGGTAGTGCTGGGTGAGCATCTGTCTTATGGCTTTTTGACACACCCCTGGCACTTCAGAAATTATGTCTGTGTATCAAAATGAAGAAAGCAAGCTGGGTTTTTTTGACAGTGTCATTGCTAGTTCACAGGAAAGTTTATTGTCCTCTTCTCCGTAATACCTTTTGGCTTTGGTAGCTTTAACCCTTTGATGCTGTAAAGGAAAGAGGGAGATAAAACCTTGCAGAATAAAAAACATTAAGTGACTTTGTATTGAACTCTCAGATGTGTTCAGGTAGTTAAGGAATACAGATCTCAGTGATTTGCAGTGGGGACTGTGCCCTTAAAAAAAATCTAAGCAGGATTGAAAATCTGCTCCCTCCACCTTGATGGAGAGAGAGAAAGGCATATCCATCTTCAATTAACTTCTCAGGTACCAGTTCTCATGTAACACCTTCCAAAACAGACTTTATGATGTGTTGTTCCTCTCAGGTGCCCTACAGGTGATCATATTTCTTAGCTCCACGTTTAGACCTGGAGGGAATGTGTGTGTTTGTAGGGCAGCAATCAAAATGTGTGTTTGTCTTTAGTCTGAAGTTTCAGGGGGCCTTTTGAAAACTAGAATAAAACAGCTGAGAAATTCTTCAGGAAAGGCAGTTATGTTTCATAAGCCTGGACTCCTGAAATGGCCAGTGTGGGTCCCCAGACAGGCAAAAACCCCAAGTGAGAACCTGGACGTTGGCAAGGATGGGGGGCACTGCTAGCAGGAATGCATCCCTCAGAAAGGAGATTAATATTGCAATAAATTGGTAGGGCTGGCTGATAGGTGCTGCTTCCTGATAGAAAGCATTTGTGAATTTTTCAGGATATTCTCTCCCATTTTTTTTACATACAGTTCTATTCCTTGTCTTTGTCTTCTACACATCTTTCTCTTGGCCCTTCTTTCTGCCTTGACTGAAGGCTTCTTTCCTAATAGATTTTCCTGGCTAAATGAAATATTTGAAAGGAATGCTCTACTTGTTGGTTTTTCTTGGTTACTTTAGCTACTGTTTCCTCCTGGTATCAGTTATCACTAGTCATTGAAACAGAAAAACTTGAAGTAGATAGTGTATAAAATGCTTTAATTCCTGAAAAATGCATTCGACAATCTGATTTTAGCTAAGAGCAAGTCCCTTCTCTTCCCTCTACTTTTAATTTCACTTCCATTATCCAAGGGCAACAAGCCAAACTGCAGTCTCATTCTGATTTCATTAATGTTTTGCAAACTCTGTCTCAAGGACTAATGTTGTTTGCTGGGCTTGATGTCAGAATCCAAGGTTTTACTGCAGCATTGGAGAGGGGGAAAGGAGAGAACTCTTGCAAATAGAAATGGTGGTATTGTTAGCAGATGAGTAGAACTGCCTAGTTTTTATAGTATTGGCAGATAATGAGTCCAGTTTGTTGACAACATGATCCCTTCAGATGAATGGTTTTCATCTGCTATGGAAATGTCTCTTATCTCCTGTGCACAGCATCTTATCAGTCCTCTGGGATCTATCAAAAACAACGAAAGGGCATCAGCTATTTGTTATTAAATCAGAGTTAGTGGAGACTGGTTTGTTTTTTTTTTTTACTACATATACATTTCTTACATTTCTGATTTATCTATCATTTTAACCTCCTCCTTTGATCTGGGTTTTTAAGATTCATGTTACAAATCATTCCTTCAGACTACAGGGAAGAAAATGAGATGTTGTGCTGGCAAAAAGAAAAATTATTTCAAGCAATGTAATTTTCTTGAAGAAGAGGTAAGGGGCACTTATGCTGTAAGAAGAGAATTAATTCTGGATTGATAGGACTTGAAAATCCTGTGGCCACAGGGATAGTGTAAGATGGCTTGGAATATCAAAAGAAAAACATTTATTTAGCTGATAGAGAAAGGCCTCAGAAACTGGAGTGTGCAGCGGCAGTGAGGTGTGCTGGATTACAGTTTGTGGACTCCAGGGCACACATCCAGGATGACGTGATCTTTGGCACTCACCTGCAATTAAACATATGACGTGGGCACCAAATGCACCAAAGGCATCCAGAAGAAACGTGTGGTGTCAGTTCATCCCCAGGGTTCTCCTGCAGGGAGCAGGTTCAGAAATGAGTTTGGGCCCCCGGGTCTGCCCCTGTCCCGAGATCCTCATCCGTTTTTTTAACTGCACTTGTGATGACCCTCGTGGAGGAGGTAAGGAGGAATTTGGTTTTATGGCTGGTCTAGGCTGGGTTTCAACGTTCTCTGTTTGTTTACTAGGGTTAGGGTTACATCACTAGGGTTAATGTTGTCTTGTCCTATGATCACATGAAACAAGTATTGGTTTGAGCATTGGAATTAATGGTGCTTACTTTCCTTTGATTTATGTCTTGTGCTTGATGAAGTGGAGATTTTCTTGCTGTTTTACTGATCAGAAAGACTGTCCCCTAGGCAAACTGTTTGGTGGCAAGTAAGAGTCCTATGTTACAGCTTTTCTTTCAGCTGGGACAGGGCTGGGGTCACTTGCAGGGTCTGCCTTTTGTACTTGAATGTCTGTTTTTATGGGACTTGTGGGAAGACAGTTCCCTTTGTAACAGAGCAGGCTGCAATTGTTCAATGGACTCAACAGTTATTAGCTGTGAGAACATAATCCACGCAAAACTGACTTTCTGTGAGTAAGGCTGGAAATAATATATCATACCCTGATGGAAGTTCTTTCCATATGGGTTTGCATCTTGTGTCCTCTCCTCCCTTGCCACATTTTCCATTCCTTTTGTGCCAGAGTACCTCCGTTTCTCTATGGCCTTGTGCTGTCAGCTGGGCAGGACAAAAGGGTGCTTTAGGGCTGCTCTGGGGTGCTGGCTGGCCATGGTGTGCATGTGCTGCCTGTCTGGAAGATCAGACTCAGAAAGTGGTGAGATTATGGCAGTTCTTTCTTCATTTAAGGGGAGGACTCATTTCAGCTTTGTTTTTTGTTTCTAGGAAGAAAGTAAGTTTCCATCCTTAAATTCTCTGTCAAGCTAGATTTAAATATTAAGAGCTAGGGATAGTTAAACAGCAGAAGTTTGGTTTAGGAAGGACCCTCTCTAACCTGTCAAGAAAATAATCATCAAAGCATAAGAATCCATTGGAAGATAAACTGGACCAGGAGCTCAACTGACATGACCTCAACTGGAGGAAGAAGTGAATAGGTGCAGGCCTGTGGTTCCTGTAAACAGCTGTAAACTGCCAAGTTAATTTCTAAAAATTTGTGTCCTCCTTCTCTTCCTTATTTTCTTTGTCTCTAAAACATACAAAGAAATACCAATGTGTTTCCCAGGAGGAGTTTTTGTCAGCTTTGCAAAATGATTGAGGTCCTTGGATTTGATTATGAGACATAGTATGGTATCTTTTGTCTTGGCTGCAGTAACAAAGGTGAATGTGGTATTACTGTAGTAGCAGTACCAGTAAAGGGCTTAAAATACATTTAGTAAAAGACTTGATTTCTCCCAACTTCACCCATCAACTGAACTCTTTTTTCTTCTTTGCTGTATGTTGTGATCATACAGGTCAGTGGTGATATTTAAGACGTTAATGAATCAGTGGTAGACAATTGATCTGTCCCATTTCATACAAAAGGTGCTGTTTCCCGATGGGCACTTAGCTGGCAGTCCAAAGCTGGGACAGGCAGAGACTGTGTTGCCAGCAGCGTACTAGGAAAAACCTCTATAGCAGCAGTGCTGCTGACTCATCGTTTACAACCCTGAAACATTCCCCGAAAGGCTGGAGATGCAGATTAACTTCCTTTCCCTGTCCTGGTCAGGGGACAATTCATTCCATTATTTACCACCAAGTGAAGCCTGTAGATAGTTATGCACTGCTGCGTTTTCACTGATGTTCTGTGGAATGCATTAGCATGGAGCTTGCGAGAAATCATGGGCAATTTATTTTAATACCCCGGGTGTCAGTCGGTGCTAAATCACAGAAGCTATTTACGTTTGTTTTCTGAGTCATCCTGTTTCTTGTGATAAGGTGATTTTTCAGTATGTGTGGTTAGTAAATTGGGTTCGTCTCTTCTTTTTCTTACTTGGTGTGTATCTTTTCTCTTAAAAATGCAAATATGTGCCTAAATTGGCTAAAAGAAAATGAGTCACATTTAAGAAAGTGCCTTTCTTTAGGCTTTTCATCGTCAAGGGGAAGGGATTCATGACTGCTAGATACAGGAATAGAGAGCAGTGGGGGAGAAATCAGAGAGATGTGTGTTTCAGTGTCAGTATAAAACTCCCTGTATCATCCAGTTGTCTGTGTCTCTGTAGTTCCCAAGTTGCTTCCGTCTGTATGGAAGCAGCACTGTGCTGCTGCTGCTCAGCATTGTAGCATTTGATACTGAAAAACTTTATCTTATGGTAGAAATCATAGCCTGGAGTTTGGTTGGGGAGAGGAAGGTGCATGGGGCAGTTCTGGAGACTTGCATGTGACACA